GCTGGTGCTTAAACTGCAAATGCGTTCTAAACGCTTAGGTGTGTTGAACGCACGGTTCGAGAATGTTTAAGAGGGAGGGAAGGAATGGGACCTCCTATAGTCTAATGTTTTGGGAAAGGTTTTGTTTCCAACACAAGTGAGAATGTAGAGTGGAGATAAGTAAAGTCTCCTCTCTTACATAGTCGGGCCGGGGCGTGCACGTCTCCATAGGTCTGTTGGTGTCATTATTATTTTTTATTAGGGGATGGGCAACATATCGCGCGGTGGCGTGCCGAAAGGACCTCATAAGCCCCCCCGCGGGGCACCCGCAGACCCCCGCCGGGCCCCGTCGGCCGTCGGTTGCGGTACCGGCCCGGGGTACCCCTGGGTCGCAACGCATTCGGAGTGTCCGGGCGCACCGATATGTGAGAATTTTATTGCTGTGTCTATTGCTATTCGAGACACATGGGGCCATCCATACGGTGCGGGGCCGCCCAGCGGTGGGGCCTTTGGGACCCCGCGCGCGGCTTAAATCCTCGAAACGACGCCGCGCGGCGCGACACTCAACACTACGGACCCGTCCGTTTGGTTCGGGTGGCGCGGTGAACGCGGAAATGTTTGGGGCCGCGGGAAAAAATATGAAAGTGGTGATGGGCGTTTGGCACCGTGAAAATGTGCAAGGGCAGACAAACACACACCTACGCAACGGCGCAACAGGTCGATCCGAGGGCGGAGCGGCGAAGCGAAATCTTTTGGCGAAAACCATTAGGGGGGAGGGCCCTACCTGCGTGGGTCTCTAAGGCGATGCCGACGCCCCGGATTCCGGGCCCCAGAAGAGTCCCTGAGGCCCCAGATATCTTCATCAGTGTGGCTTATTTATACAGACGTGTCGAGCGATGATTTACCGACAACATAAATTGAGGGATACTACTCCTGACACAGCACCTTTTTGGGGGGATAGAACAGACTCCCTGATTTGAAGTGTCTCATCGATCCATGGACCCCTTATACCGCTCGCTGGACACCGCGAGAGTGTGGGTCCAGCCACTGAATCATAGAGTGGGGAGTCCACACTACACATAGTTGATTAAATATGCATTAAATATGCGGGATAGTTGGGACTTTTGGGCTATGCCACAATATTGTTGCTTTTCAGGGACTCAGACTTGCTGAAATCTGCTCAGGGCAAAAGAGTAGCCGACGGACGACGGGAAGGTCCTGCCCGTGTCACCGCGCGTCCGCGTCCGGAAGACTTGGCTTGGCAGCGCCGTCTTGAGACCAGCGGCTGCAGCGACAGTGTCTTTCGGAGGCAGCCCGCCGGCGGCAGCGCCCGGCCCGGGATCAGCTCTGGAAATGGACCGAAAGCAAGCAGCGGCCTCTGGACCAGACATCAAAGCCTAATAACAAACCCCATTCACTCAGCTTCCCGAAGCGATACCCATAAAATGGCGACCGGGTGCTTCCAGCGAAATGAAAACCGGCCAAAGTCAGTCCACATCCACACAGCCGCCGGGCCGGCAGGGCGGCAGAGCCCCGGCCAAAGCACATGTTTTAGACTTTGAGACTGTGTTTAGCAAACTGGCCTGAGTGATGAATAAATTAAGACCCGCCCGTCAGAAACTCATACTTCCGAACGGCCGTGCGATCATCTTTTTAGCATATCCTTGTGTCGCCTGAAGGTAGCGGGAGGAAAGGAGAAAGTAAAGAAGAGAGAGGGAGAGAGAGATAAAAAGATACTCGGGCAAAGAGAGGAGGGGGGCGCAAGATAAAAGTATTTCCGAAGCCTACTGAAAGGTACATAAATGTTGTTTATAGCCGTAAACAACTCAAATTGGGCATCTTGTGCGGGTTTGTCGGAGCGCACAAGGCCCTCATCACCCTCGAACCGGCAGCCAAGTGGCACTGGCACCCGAAACCCGACTCGTACCTCGCGTTGGCCATATTGCCAGCGGTACCCGTCCACGCAGGTAGTTTCGTTCAGAAGAAGGTCATATTAGGGCATGCTATATTTGAGCGGCAGCCTCACTCGACTAGAACAACTCGTAATGACAGGCGATTCGTATGCATAGTCCTCACCCAGCCTATTTCTGCGCCACCCAGCCCGCGCCCGCCCGACGGGGCCGCCCCAGAGACAAAGAGCCGGCGATCCATTTTAATTCCGAGTTGATGACGATTGTATGATGATACGATGTCCACTTGTCACATGAATTACTCAAGAAGCCCCCTCTTGCCTCCGACTCACCGGGTGACTCGAACCGCCGCGCGAGCGCGGCGTGAAACAATTCGGGGAACGTTCCTCAGTGATGGCGATCAACGTCGCATCACACGAATGGGGGGCGGCGCATCCTCAAAGGATACAACACAGACAGCGTGCTGCTGCCGGGGATATTTGGGGTCGATTTGGGTGGTCAAATCGGACAAATTCGGATATATTCGATTGACGGAGTAGAGAAAGTTTGTCACGCCGTCATGTGTCACTTTTGCCGCATTTGCATTCCCGCTCGCGATGCGGGCCGCGTGCCATTAATTAAGCGACTCGGCGGGGCGGATTTGGTGTCAGGTCGTGTTCATTCTATAATTTATGCGCGCGCTCGCTTTAGTTGTGACCGCTCGCAATTAGCAAATCAGGCTCGCGCGCGCCCCCCTCTCTGCCCCTAACCTAACCCCCTTTTCAGCGCCCACTCTAGGACAGGGGGGACGAGGAGGAAGCCCTGCCAAAAACACACGACGTGCATCTTGCGATATCGGACTGGTTCGGGTGCGTATTTTGCAGAATCGCGGGCAGACACACGGGCGGAGCGTGTGTATGGATGTGTGTCGTTAGATTCATTTTGCGCCCCGCTGCGTTATGGCCGTGGGTGTAACAAAATAAAGCCGAGGAAACGGGAGAGGGGAGGGAGGGAGAGAGAGGGAGAGGGAGAGAGAGAGGGAGAGGGAGAGAGAGAG